CTAGGCATGGGTAACAGCATAAGCAAAGGTGCAGAGAGGAGAAAGTATATTTGGGGGATTGAGTGTTGTCCACTTTGGCTAAAGGTGTAGATTACAAACAGATGACTCATAAGGGACAGCACAGGGAAGGTCTTTAAGACTAACTGCATCCTAAGATTAGGGGGTGCTCAATTTAGGGGAGCCCTCCAGACGCTCCTTCATTGCCCTCAAGAAACCTTAACATGCCTTGCTTTCTGTTTTTTTTTTCAGGACTTCTTTTGTTTTCAGTTGTATTCACCTAGGAGAGTATCTAGTGGGAGCTGTACTAGGCCAAAAGACCCGACCCTTCAAAGCATCTGCTGGTCAAGTTCCTCTGCTTTGCCCATCAGTTTCTACTTATTAGCAGCGTGGTGTAATGTAAAGAAGTATGGATTTGGAGTTGGGAGTACCTGACTTCATGTCACCGTTCACCTAGGTGATCTTGGGCAAGTTGCCACCTTTCTGAGCCGCCATGTTCTCAGGTCTAAAACAAGGGCTGAATGAAATGATCCCCAGGTTTTCCTTTCTCTCCAGATACCTGTTAGTTCCATGGGCCTCTCTGGAGGTATTGCAAAAGATGCTGGGGTTAAGTCATGGGCTGCTTTGGGAATATTCAAAATTGATATCTATCTACTGGGAGAAAGTAGTCTGAGGTGGTAAAGGGGGAGGTGAGTCTGAAGGGTCAGGGGAAAGTTTGTGCCAACATAGGTAGAAGTATTCTTATTATTTTCAGTAGACCATGGGCATCTTGGTAGGGCCCCTGTCTGATTTCTCGTTATGTCCCCAGTGCCTAGCACAGAGCTCAGAATATTGTAGGTCTTCAATAAAAGCTTTGATATTAAATTTGGTTTGCAGATGTGAGCATTTTTATTGGCGTGCCTCCTCAGAAACGAGTTGGGAAACACACATCCTCCTCTTGTCTAGCTCAGGAGTCCCCAGGAGTCCCAAGGGCAGTCCCAGTCTTTACCTGTCTCCTTCCGCTTTCCACCTTTCTCCTTCTTCCCTACTTCCACCACCCTCCTTCTAACTCCTCCTTCCCTGGGGTCTGGAGCATGTCCAGGAGAAAGGCAGAGTGGTGGCTCCAGGAGAACAGACCAAGAAGAGGTTTCTTTGGTCTAATAAGGCAGATTCTCCCCCTGTGTGGGGTGAGGGGTGGGGTGGGGTGGGGAAACTGAGTTGTTCATCAAACCTCAGCCACAAAAGCGGAGCCACACCCACCCTTCTGCAGCCCAACTGAGACAGGGGTCTTGGCATCAGGCCCCCAAGGCCATCCCCTCCCATACTGGGGAGTCCTGGCTTAAGGTATTTGGAAACTTTAAAAAAGTTGGGGACCAAATTCCTGAATGACAGCTGCGGGGGGGGGGGGGAATTCAGATGCTTGGGGACTGACATCTTTTACCTGAGAGGTTGAGGTCAAAAAAGCCCTAGGCCCTCTAGAGGAGCCATTACTCAGGTGTCCTGTCTGCTATTTCTAGAATTTGTTCAAGCTTGTTCTTCTGACGATACATCTCGGAGGTGGACAGTACGAGTATTATTTTATTTATTTTACAGTGACTCGCTCAGGGTCATGTGGCTTTAAAGTGTCAGAGTCAGGATTTGAATTCAGATTCTAGGGTCTTTAAGTCCAGTGCTCTCAGGCTCTCTTACTCACTTAAAAGTTCATTGAGGGTGGAGGGGTCCTCAGTTCTGTGGGGGACGAAAAGGTTCTGGAGCCACAGCTGGGATCACAGTGTTGTTCCCTAGAAGCTTGACTGGCCCTGGACGGGACCTCAAATCGTGGTGTTTAGCCACTGAGAAAAGGCTGAAATGTTGGTCAAGAATGATCGTTGCTATTAGAAGAGGCCGTCCCTTGGAGAAGTGTATTCAATGGGTGACTGCTCCTCAAATACCCTGCAGTTCATTTTGCCCCTGTGAATAAGAGAGACCAGCTGATAGTTTAGGAGCGCTATACTCACCGCTGGGAATGGACTTTTCCTTCCTGCTCCTGGGAGGTAGGACAGGGGAATGGGGGAATTTAGTCTGGAAAAAGAAAGACCTGGAGCATTAGGTACTGCCTAGGCAAGGCAGCCTCAGTATAATGGAATCCAATGGAAAAACACTTACTAAGTGCTTGCTGTTTGCAAGGTACTGAGATAAGCCTTGGGGATATAGATAGAAAAGTGAGCCAGGCCTCAGCTCTCACAGTTTAATTAGGGGAGACAACACATTAAGGAGAATTCAGCTGCAGGGTGGAAGAGACCTCTATGCTACTATTCCTGCTGGGACCTTGGACACGCTTGGGTAGCCAGGTAGCTGGGAGGCTGGGGCAGGGAAGACGAAGGCACTGGGCTCCCCACAGGGACATCTGCTGGGTCTTCCCTCCACTTGTGATCTGGGATGTCATAAGGGCACATCTCCCCAGCAGCTTTCTCTTGCTATTATGGAGAGGCAGCTAGGCTGCCTAGTTCATATAGCTCTGAATGTGGGGTCAAGAAGACCTGAGTTCAAATCACTACCTTAATGACCCTGAGCAATTCACTTAACGTTTGTCTGACTCAGTTTCCTCAGCTGTAAAATAGACATAATAATAGCTCTTATCTCTCAGGGTTGTTGTGAGGATCAAATGAGAAAATATTTGTAAAACACTTAGTTCAGTGTCGGGAGCGTAGTAGGAACTTAATAAATCCTTCCTTCCTTCCTTCCTTCCTGCCTTCCTTCCTTCCTTTCTTCCTCCTTCCCTCCCTCTCTTCCTTCCTTCCTTCCCTCCTCCCTTCCTCCCTTCTCTTCCTTCCATCCATTCTTCCTTCTTTCCTTCCTTCCTCCCTCCCTCCTTCTCTCCCTCCCTCCTTCCTTCCCTTTCCTTCCTTCCTTCCTTCCTTCCTTCCT